AGCGTGTGTGTGTGTGTGTGTGTGTGTGTGTGTGTGTGTGAATACATACCCACTATGGAGTTATTACAAAGGACAAAGTTCAGTCATTTGAGGTTCAACGGGTGAGCATGAAGGACATTTATTCATTGAAATAAGCCAGGCACAGAAAGAGAAACACCATGTGTTCTCCCTCACATACAGAAACTGGGGAAATGACCTTGTAAAAGTAGAGTGATGGAGAGTGAATATGAGATGCCAAGAACTGGGGGGGAGGGTGCAGAATAAAGAGATGTTGATTAATGAAAACAAAATTACAGCTATATGGAAGGAACAGTGTCTACTGTTATAAATACAGTGGGGAGAACATGGTTAACAACAACTTACTATAAGGGCCAGCAGGTGGCGTGGTGGTTAAGGTGCTGGACTTTCACATGGCCAACCATGGTTTGAGTCCCAGACCTCGTGGCTTACTTTCTCACTCTCTCTCTCTTTGGTGAGTGTGCATGCCCTATAGCAAATTTTTAAAATAATAATAATAAATAAAATAAATAATTATAAAAATAAAAACATACGGGGCACATTTGCACACATGCCCCAAATCCTGACAGAACAGAGGATAGAGAAGGGACTGCAATACGATCACACCTCCTTGGGGGTGCTTTCCCACTCCGCCTGTCTCTCTTAGGTGAGTGCACATGCCCTCTGAAAACTAAAGAAAAAAACAAAACTAAAACCAAAACCAAACAACTAAAACAAAACAAAACAAATCCTCCCAAACCAATATACACGAAGGGGCTTAAAAAATTTTGTAGAAATTGGAATTAAAGTATAAGTTTATTTTGGTGCGAAAATATTTTTCATAATACACATCTTGCATGAGCTTTTTGAAGACTTGTAATGGATAGATGGGTAGGAAAAGTAAATATGGTATAATGTCAACAATGGGTGAATCTGGGTGCGTGATAAACACAGATCCATTGAACTAGTCACTCAACTTCTCTGCAAGTTTCAAATCATTCGGAAGAGAATATTGGAAGGGGGGCCAGCAGGTGGTCGTGGTTAAGGCACTGGACTTCCACATGGTTGGCTACAGTTTGAGTCCTAGACGTGGCAACTTAAAACTCATGCTGGGTATGTGTGTGAGTGTGCCCAAATTCCCGAGAGGAGAATGGAGGAGAAGGGACTGTGGTGTGGCCATCCCCTCCAGAAGGCGATTTCTAGCTTTCTGTCTTTATGGCAAGTGCATGTGCCCTATAGCAAAAATCTCCCTCTCAAAAAAATAAGAGTATTAGGCAAAAACATAACCTTGTTCCTGTTCTTACTTTGCCAGAACTGGTCTCCCAGGGTAGGACATGGGGAATGGAGCAGGAAGACCTTCTCTCTGTGAACAAATGGTTCCGTATTTTTCATTTGACTTCATCTTAACGTGCATTGCTGCTACTGACTGCTTCCTCCTAGAAGCAGTCTTGCCTTTTGGCTTACTTCTTGCCTTTTGGTTTACTTCTTGGATACCTTGAAATACTTTCCCTGTTTTCTGATCATCCCTAATGTTGCGGTGGTCAGGTTCAGACTCATACCCTGTCTGAACGCATTAATACATGCTTCCCTTTCTTCTGCGCCTTTAACCTCCACACCACCTGCTGGCCTGCTTCTGTGATTTTAATGAACATGTATATGGGAACCCTAATCTCTCCTGGAATCCAAATCCTAATATCCAGCTATCTGCTAGATCCCAGCATGTCCCAAACTAGGTTCACCATAAATGGTCCACACGTTGGCTTGTAATGCTTTCATTTCCAGTTACACTGAAGAGCAAGCACCACCAACTAGCCCAGGGCAAGAACTAGCAAACCCAGTATCCTAACCCTCTCCCTCATCTCGTTATTCACCAGGTCTGGGGCTTCTACCCCGGTAGTAGCTCTCCAGCCCTCTTCCCCTAGCTTAGTCTCGGTCACCATCACGACCCGCCTGTCCCCTTCAACACCTGCTCCCATGTCTTTTGCTCAGTCCCACATGCCTCCGACCTCTCTCCCCAACCCAGTCCAATTTGTAGGACACAAATCTGATGTCACCTACTTAGACCCTTTCAGCATTCCCCTCCCCCCCCAACTTTGGCATCTCGGAACCTTCACTTGGGCCACTTCCGCAGTTTACGCAGTGATTCCGGACATACACCTACACCTGTGGCCTGCCTCTCCTTGCAGTTCTCCATTTTCATATTTCTTTCCTCTGCCCAGAACACCCCTCGCTTTCCCTTCTCCCTCTCCCTCCACTACACTGAATGGTCACGGCCTGCTTCTTCACGTCAATGACTTGAGAAGACGGTATGTGACCAGCTCAGGAACTGGACACAGTAGGCCTTTAAGTCATGCTTGTTGCAGAACTAGCGAATAAACAAACGAATTCGTCAACATCGGGAGCATGAAAAGCAGAGTTGAAAGGTGGGGGCCAAATGGGACTTGGGGACTAGAACCAGAGGAACTGAACTGGGAGGAGGGGTTAGGCCTGGGAGGTCTTGCA